TAACTTGCTCTGAAATTGAGGTAAGTAGGATTTGATGGTGTGTGACTAGCCCCCTCAGAGGCTCCTGTTTTGCCGCTAGGAGCAGAGGCCTGTCCTCGGCCCGGAGGGCTGGGGGTGGTATGGGCTTGGCCCCTCCTGGTGCAGTGAGGGCCCTTAGTGGTCGCTGTGGTGGCGGCGTTCCTGCCAAGGGCTTCTGTGGCATCACATCATCACCCATGCCTGGTAGTTGGTGTCCATTCTCATTTTAAAGAGGAGCAGAGGTGTGTGGAGGCAGAGGATTCGGGCGGCACGCGCAGTGGTGGTGTGTGTCCTGTGGCACTGCGGCCTCAGAATGCCAGCAGGCCAGTGGCCTGGGAGCGCTGCTGGGTTCCACTGCCGGGTGCACACTGTCTCTGGAGAGCACCTCTGTTCCGAGGAAGGGCCCTCTCTGCAGACGCCCCACACCGTCGCGTGCAGGCGGATCACCAGCTCGGCCGCCCGTCCTTCAGTCCCGGCGCCTCACGTGGGCGTGGCCGGTCCCGGTGGCCCTGGGGAGCCTGTGCTCCTCGTGTAGAGCGGGGTACCTCCTAGCCGAGCGTGTTTTTCTCAGGCAGGGTAGGTGGGTGGGTGTTTGGAGCATCACATTAAGGGCAAGAATTTCACCATGTGTACTTCTCTGAAGCCCCTCTGTTGGACACCAGCATCAAGAAATTTGCCATCCAAAGTAGCAGCCAGGGAGTCGAGGCATTTCTGTACTGGGGCTGTTTCGGGGGCAGGTGTACCTCCCCGTGCTGCCTGAAGCCCAGGGACCTCGCAGGCTCGGGTGTTGGCCTCCTCACCATGGGCTCTGAATTCAGGGCCGGGAGCCCCTCTCTGTGCACCCGGGCCTGTCTTCCCGCTGGGCCTGAGGCTGGTGCTGCCCCAGGCAGACCCACAGCCGCATTCATGGCTGAGCTCGGCTGGGGCAGGTGGTGGTGCGTCGGGCCAGCGCTTGCCGGTGTGCAGTTGAGCGGTTTCATCCGGCACAGGTGTCTGCCGCATGCCAGGGCAGGAAGGGGTCACGAGCAGAGGCAGGGCCCAGGCCCGCGGCTCTGCCGGAGGGGACACATTGAACAGAAACATGTGGTCCCTTCTGGTCCTGGGGGGCCACAGACGCACAGGGTGTGAAGTTTGCAAGTCAGAGCCAGACGCTCAAGAGACAGCTTCCTCCTGTGAGCTTCTCGGCATCCCGCCCACAGGCCCTTCCCTGCCACCGGCGATGCGTCGGGGTGGGGTGGCCCCAGCTGCTGTACACGGGTCTCCTCCAGATACGTACAGGGCTGGCTTCTGCACACCCCTGGCGGGGCTGGGGCAGGAGAGGGGGCCGGTCCCCGTCTCCTGCTACACCCCTTGCCTTGGGCAGGTGAGCCCCGCATTCTGCGTCCTGAGGCCCCTCTGCCCTGAAGCAGAGCTGCCTCCGTGCTGACCTGGGAGACGCCTGAGGGGCGTCTAAGGTCTTGGGCAGTAGTTTAGAACTTGGACGTGGGACACGTGACAGTCAGCTGGGGGCCTTTGCAAGCCTGTGTGCCAGGCAGTGTCCTGGAGTGAGCAGCACCGGGGAGGTCCAGGGCAGCTGGGCAGAGAGCTGAGAGGCCAGCTGGACCTGGGGCGATCTTGGGGTCACCCCAGCCCCTGTTCCGGTCCTCCTGACCCCCTCCTTCCTGCGGCTTATCTGTCTTGGGGCATCCCCTCACCCACGTACCCTCTTCTCGCTTCTGCTGGGAAGCTCTGGGCAGCCTGTTGCCCTCACCCACACTGCCAGGCTCAGCATGGGTCACGCCCCGAGGCCTCACTGTGGGAACCAGAGCCCCCAGTGTCCAGCCACCGCTCCCTGGGGAATGGCAGTGCCTTGGCTTGGATGCCCGTCCTCATTAACACTGGGTACACATGCACCAGGAGCTAGGGGACGGTGGCCTTGCTCGATGAATCTGCTGACGCCTGTAGCATGCGGTGCCAGGAGCACGTGTGGAGTGATGCCTTCCCGAAAGTATCCAGTGAAAACTTTGGAATAAGTAAATGATTTACTCTTTGGTTCTCATTTTCTACCTTTATTTCCTTTCCCCAAGGAAATTATTTTTCCTGGTACTCAAGACACTGAGGTTTTATGGGGTCAGTGACTTGATGATCCCTTTGGAGCTCATATCATGGTGTGAGGTCGGGCATGGTGTCCTCAAGGCTTGACCACAGGGTAAGACAGGTGCCCAGTGTGGTTCTGCCACTGCTGGTGAAAGCGTCTTTGTGGAGCCCGGAGCCTGGCTTTGCACCCTGGCCAAAGCCTCTTGATGTGCTTGGCCGGGCAGCTCACGGAGGCGAGGTCCAGGAGGGGCGGAGGCCCAGGCCGGAGCTACTCTCCACCGGGCAGGGTGAGCAGGCGGGGTAGGTGCAAAAAGCTTCGGGACAGGCTCGGGAAGGACAGGCGTGGCGCGCCGGGTCACTGTCTGCACACACCGTCCTGGGCAGGCAGGCTCTCCGTAAAGAGAAAGCCGGTGATGGCTGCCGAGCCCAAGCCTGGTGTTCCGTTCAGACAGAGGCTTGTCTGGCCCTAGAGTGTGCAGAACCTTGAAGACCTGCCCTGTGCTGGCCGACCGCCTTCTGAGCCGGCTGTGATGCGGGCCAGCCGACTGTCTCCTCTGTGTGGCCAGTGCCTGGCCCAGCACCCCCACTCCACTCAGGGAGCTGTGTGGCCGCCGTCGGGGTCTCTGTGTCTGCCGGCGGCAGGTGGCCCTGGGGAGTGAGCCTGTGGGGACAGCGCGTCCCTCCTCCAGTGTGTGGCGGTCGGCGGACAGGAGGGACTCGGTTCTGAGTTTCTCTGAGGCCCGTAAGGCAAGTGAGTCTGGTGCAGACCGCGGGCCACGGGGCGTGTGCCTGTCCAGGCCAGCACAGGTGGAGGTTGGTGCTATCTGCTTGGGCATTGGGGCACACTCTTGGTGAGGCCTAACTGGTGCTCCCCTCAGTTACCCGGGCGGGGAGCAGTGATGCCCAGGGTCTCCTTACTCCTGCCCTGCCTGCACAGAGGAGGCCTTCCTCCTGGCTGGTGGGGGCCCGCCGGGGTGCTTGGCACCGAGCCAGGGGTCCGAGGGGCTGAGCCGCTGTGGTGCTGCCCCTGAGTGTGGGAGGCCCTGGGCATTCGCTGCTGCCTCCTCGGGGCTCCAGAGAACAGTGACATCCCTCCCGTGACCTTGTGGATCCCGCTTCTGTTTGGTCTGCCGGCCCCCAGAGGGAGGGGCGCAGGCTCCCGACCCCCTCGCTGCCCTGCTCTTTCCTCCTGCCCTGAGGACGCCCAGGAGGCGCTGTGCCAGGGGCGGAACTCAGCTGGCGCGGTTCAGGGATGAGGTCTTGGACACCCCCGGCCGCTTGTTCGCCTGACAGATGAGCAGACGACCCTCGGGTGGAGAACCTGCCCCAGATGCCAGGGGCCACGAGCCCACGCTTCTCCATAGTCAGTTCTGGTCCTGAGGAGCCTGTGTGGCTGTGGCCGCGTGGCCGTGTCCTTCAAAGGGGCGTCAACGAGAACATCACAACACTGGTTGCGAGGTGGCGGCCGTGCACACAGGACACAAACACTCCTCAGCGGCAGGGCTGTGGCTCGTGGCTCCCGGGTGTCACTCTTGCGGGCAGGGTGGGCTGTGGGGCGGCCCAGCAGTGATGACCATAGCTGGCACTTAGCAGGGCCTACTGGTGCCGCCACGCCGCACACTAGGCAGGCTCTGGGGCTGCATAGGGCCTCTCCCTGAGGTGCCGAGACAGTTTGGAAAGCCTTCACCTGCAAGCCCAGGATGTGGGTGTGCCAAGGTCCTAGTGTTTCTTGAGAGTGGATTTCTTGGGGTGCAGTTCCCTGAAAGTGCCCCTCTAGGACAGGTGCCATCTGAGGCGGCCAGTGATGCTGGGTAATGCCCCAAGGTGCCCAGAAGAGCAGGCTCGGGCAGGGGTTTGGGGCCAGGCCTTGCAGCTTACATGTTGCCATGTGGATGAGATGTAGTCGGGCGCCCCAGCAGCTCAGTTCAAGCTGGGGCCCTGGAGAGGGCGTGCAGCTCCTCCCAGCACTGCACATCTGGCGCCCCGTGCCAGTGACCGGTGCCCTGCGACATAGCTCCTCTAGCCCGGTTCTCGTACGCGCAGCCCAGTCTGTCTTGGGAGAGTCTTGGTGAGCAAGGCCTCCCTGGCTGGGGGTGGGAGCAGGTGCAGCTTGCGCTGTGCTTGCGGACCTGCCTTGGTTTCCGTGGGAAGGGAAGGAGCCCCTTCCCACCTGCAGGCCCGGGATTTTGCCCACCGGATGGAGGTGTTTGGTAGCCGTCGCTCGCTGGAAGCCCACTGCCAGGTCTGCAGGAGCTGTGGAGGCTGTGCCGCCACTAATGTGCCACTGTCCCCGTCAGGCACCTGGCTCCCCGGTGTTGCCTGGACTTGTAACCTCTTTCCCTCGAACACCCGTGGTGTGATGGACAATCAGAAACTCAGAGTGGAATTTAAAATCATGCAGCAAAAATTGTCATTTGTGTATTTTGTTCCTGGTACCCACGTAACGTGCGCAACTTCTCTGTTTCCTAAAAGACTGATAGGAACACGACCTTGGGGCGACTTGGATGCCCCGTCTGGACCGTGTCTGACTGGACAGATGCCCGGTGGGCCCAGGCCCATGGCTCAGCGCTGTGTGCTTACACGCGCATGCGCGGGCGGCGTGGCCGGCAGACTCGTCATATCATGGGGTGGAGAGGCTGCTGTGCTCCTGGGGCTGAGGCCGCTGGCTGGTCCAGAGCCCGTTCCTTCCAGGCCAGCACCCTGGGTCGGTGTCCCCAGCGACTTCTGCAGGGTTGCCCTTTTAGACATCATGTGGCGCCCCTCCCTCCGCTCCTGGAATCTTCCATTTAGGCCCCAGTAGGGGCCTTGAGGGGCCCCCTCCTTCCCCAGCTGCCAGGGAGGCAGGCACTAGCCAGCGTGGCCTCTGCAGTGGCCGCTAATGCCCCTCCCCCACCCTGTGCTTCCAGGTGTGGCCGACGAGGACGCCTTCCGGGAGGAGTGTCGGCGGAGAGGCCAGAGCTTGCTTCCCGCCCAGCCTGCCAGCGCCAGCGTCCGCGCACTGAGGCCACCCAGGCTCGCCGCTGTGCCCAGACATGCGTCTCCCTACGTCTGTGAGGACCAGCTCGAGCAGGGCAGACAGCGGGCCTCCATGAGCTGGGACCCTGCCATGCCCCCAGCAGGTGTGCCCCCCGGGGGCGTCCCACCCACCTCCCAGGGCCAGAGGGGGCCGAAATCACTCCTGTGCTGCTGTGTCCTGCCCTGACCGGGTGGGCGGGTGGGCAGGCGGGCAGGTGAGCTTGCCGCCATGACATGCCCCTCAATTATAATGGGCACCAGTCTTCCGTGACAGGGCAATGAGTGTTGTCTTGGGCGAAGGGTGGCAGGTGCCATGGGATTGCCAGGTGCTGATGCTGCCCTAAATCTTTTTGTAACTTTTGACTTTGTGGGGCTTCATAACTCAGATGGGCCTGTGCCCCAGGCCACTCGCTAAGCTGGTGGGCACCTTGCCATCTCAGTGGTAAATGCTGGCATTTATCCCCATCCGTCATGCCTTCGCCTGTGTTCGGAGTGGGGACCTGCCATCAATGGTGCCAGCCCACCCGCCCTCTCACTTCTGGATGCTGGGCATTCATGCTGGGTGTCCCAGAGCCTGGCTCTGCCCTTTTCCAGCTTGGCCTGCGATTTCTTACAGAGCCCAGATGGGCCTGTGAAGCCAGTTCCCATAGAAAGTTCTGGCTGATGTCTGAGGGTGTGGCTGTGCATGTGGTCAGAAGCGCAGTGTGATTTGCTTGCATTTCATTCATTTGAAGCTTTGGGCTCACCAGGAGGGTAGCCACGGTGCCCAGGCAGGCTCACGGCAGAGGACAGCAATGCTCCTTGGCTCAGCCAGCATCCGAGTGCAGGTCGTGAGGTTGACCCTGGGGGCCCTGGCAGGCGGTAGCAAGGAAGGGCTGTGTCCTTTCCTCTCCCAGAACTTCCTCTTGGGACGTCAGTCCCTTCAGGTCCTTCTCGTCTTTCCCCGGTAGAGCAGCAGTGTCTGTCGGGGTTTCAGGGGGACAGAGGAGAGGCACCATCGCTGAAGCTGGGCCTCCTGGGGCTTCAGGCCTCGGCACGGCGCTTCCACAGTTGTGTGGACCTGGCCATGGGCCCTGCCATGCCGCCGTGCCAACGGCAGCGGGTCACATGGAGACGTCACCCTTACCCTGTGTGACCGAGTGAGAAACGGAGCAGGTGGAAGGACCGGCTGGGCAACGGCAGAGTGATATTGAGGGGTCTGCACAGGGGAGGGCTTTGGATGGAGGTTCCCCTAACAGATGAGCCTGAACGCGATCTAGCAGGCTCCATCTGTGATTCATGGACACCGTAAGCCCACGTACTGGGCTGGAACGTCCCAGTTCCCAAGAAGTTGGTGTGCGGACATGGCCTGCCTGGCACGGTTAGGTGTGAATAGAGCCAGCCTCCCAGAGCAGGACACGGAACCGTCGCCAGCAGGCTGGCCACAGAGGGCACATCCTGAGCTCAAGGCAGCCCACACCTCCCACCTGAGGGATGATTTACCTGCGGGAGAGTCTTGGAAAAGTAGGATTCAGTAGGAAAACAGTAGCTCTTGTTCGAGTATCTTGTGTTTGTCAGTGTTTACCTTTGGGTCTCTACCAGGTATTGTTTGAGTGGGGAACACGTGTTGACCTATGACTCCTGGCACGATCCAGGAGGCGCACAGGGGCTTCCACCTGCCAGGCCTCCCGTGGCTGCTGGGTGGGCCCTGCCTGCGTCCGGGCATGTGGCCTCTGTGATGGTGGCCGATGGCCGGGAGGGCCTTGTCTGCTGCGGAGCCGGCTCCCTGTTCCCTTTCCAAACCAAGCTACGTGACCCTGAAGGGAGTTAAGCCACCAGAGAACCAGCCGCCGGTTCTCGTGCAGGTGTGGTGAGGTCGTGTCAGGGACTTTGGTTTGACTCTGTACTGAGAGACGACAAAGCTGTCCCGCAGGTGGGGGGTGCAGACGGAGTGAGGAGAACGTGCGTGGGGGAGGCCGCGGCAGACCCAAGCTGGCCAACGGCCCCAGGCTACAGGACCCTTTGGGCTCATCCCTGTGCCGGCAGGGTGCAGCGCCTCTGCAGAACCCCCAGCACCCGGGCAGCGTGGCAGAGGCTGGGGGAGTCTGTCACGAAGGGGTGGCCCCCAGCAGGCTCCTGTGTGTGCCCGCATGATTGGGAAGTCACAGGAACCTCTCTGCCGTATTGCCAAGTCTTGGGTGATTTTGCCTAAAAGAAGTGCATGGTAAGGTCCTTGGCTACGCAGGGGAGGCCCCGTCCCCTCATGACCGGTCAGGAGGTGCGAGGGCCCTGGGAGCTGGCTTGCCGGGCAGCGGCAAGGTGTGGAGGCAGCCGGAAGTTTCCGGGGAGTGACTGTCTTAGGTGGAAAGTGAGCCTGCACCGGACGCGCACCTCCCCAGACCGAGTGCACTGCCTGTGCTGGGCATGGCTGCTGAGCCTGCCCAGGGCACAGCAGAGGGAATTTACCTGGACCGGAGTCTCTGCTTTCAGCCCAAGTGGCCCCTTGCCGGGCGGCTCCTGTCAACGGGGCAGGTGCTGGGTGCCGATGTCCCGCAGGTTCCCCGTGCCGGCCTCTGCTGCTCTGTTAGGCTGCGAGTGCTCACGTCGGATGGCTACCTGCCTGTCAGACCGGGCCTGCTGCTTCGGGACAGACGCGTGGCTCCTACTGTGTGCCACGTGGAGCCATAAGCCACCAAGTGAAACAGTAGAAAAGGATTAGTATTTTTCATTTATGGATTCCACACAGACTGAAGGTCTGTCAGGAGCACGTAACTGTTAAAAAGGAAAATTAAAATTATTGGACATGACAAACAGTTCACGAAAGAATGAAATGGATCCCGTAACCTTCTTTTAATTCTTATTTTTTTGTTGGAAGGAAGCAGCTTCCCCAGGAGTGCCATGGAACCAGGGAATGTTCCTCTTTGGCAAAGCACAGCATGGCGCCCACGAGCTAATGGTCATTTCATGCTGGTGCAGCTCTCGGCGGCTTTGGCTGTCTTTTTAGTGAAACTAATTTCTGTATCTCTGCGTTTCTCTGTTAAGAACTCTCAGTGGTTCTTTAAGAAGTATTTTCCTGCGTGGGGCCTTTGGGAGGGTCCTCATTGGTATGGGAGCCCCTGGGGGTCCGTGGGAGTGGCACCTTGGGCTGGCAGTGCGGGGTGCTCCAGACCACAGCTGCGGCACCCACCTCTGTGGTGAGGGGCGCATGGTTCCTTTCTAGGAAGGTGAGGTCACAGGAGGTCTTCCTTTTTCTTGTCTGCTTTTTATTAGATGTTTGGGTTTGTCTGAGCCCTCCTCGAGGTTTGTGACACATGTGGTTGGAGCCAGGGCTTGGGGAGGGGCCAGGTGGGGGTTGGGAGTGGGACATGGCGGGCGCCATGCTGCGGCCCCTCTGTGCAACCCGATGCTGTGGCCTGTTTTGATGCCCTTGGATTTGAGACCTTGGATGTGGAAGCAGCTGTGTTGCAGGGCCAGAGGGGCCGCGATCCCACCTGTGTGGTGGCTCTCTGGGTGGGTGGTGCCTGTCGTGCTTGGTGGTAATGGGTGTACCCGGCCGCCTTTGCAGGGATGGCAGAGGGTCGCCTCAGGCTGTGTGGGCAGCCTTGTTCCTGGGCCCTGGTCCAAGCTGGGGGCTAGTTGTGTCACCCTCATGCCCCAGGCACATGGGACAGGCACTTGCTGGCTGGCCGGTGTTCGGCTAGCATAGGTGAAACATACACTAGCCCCAGAATCTTGTCGTTGGTGAAATTCCCTTAGTTTGTCTGAAGTGATTTTCTGTGGCTTCTTAAAATTGAAAATGCCTTGTACCAGAAGTGGCATTTTAATGAGAAGTCTGACTGAGGGATCGATCTCTTCACCCTCTCTGCTGTGAGAACAGTGGTCTCCTGGGAAGGAGCTGGAACCGGGTGACAGGAGGGGCACGCTGAGCCCCAGCTTGGCCGCTTGTGTCCACCAGGGTACCATGGGCCTTTCTGAACCTGACTGACTGTGTGAGACTGTGTCAGGTGTGGAGCAGAGGCTGCCCTGGCCTCCCTGCTGGGAAACCTCTCAGCTACACTGTGGGGAGCCAGGAGCCAGGGCTGGCCAGTGACCTTGATGCCCGTCCACCGTGTGTGTGAGCGGGGGCTCTCGTGTCCTCCTGGGGGCTGCTGGCCTTCACCCACGAGTAGCTGCCCACGGCCAGTTCCACTGGTGACAGGCAGGGGACAGGCTTCAGGCATCTTGTTTCTGGGCGGCTGGCACTGTCTGATTGGTGCAGGGACTCGAGGCATCTTTAGCAGCTGAGCTCTGTCCGCACGTAGCCTGTGCCTGAAAGGCTGCCGTATGTTAAACCTTGAGAATATGTTCAGAGGGACTTAGCGGCAGGCCTAGGGGCTCATGGGCATGACCCAGGCCCACAGTGGCCCCAGCCCGGTTCTGTTCTTGGTTCTCACTAGCCAGGCCATTTAAGTGGATCTTTTTTAACCCAAATTGGACATGCAGCCTGCTTCCCGGCTGACCCTGCCGCCTCTGCCCCACGTCGGTGTGCTCCTGGCCGTGTCTGCACAGCAGTTCCTTTCTGCTTCTCTGGGCACATCTCTGAAGGGTGACTGATGCACTTACCTGTCAAGAGGCCACTCACTTTGAGGGGCAGTAAGTGGGTTCCCCAAGTCAGAAGCGGGAGCCGTTCCCACATGGAACACTCAGAACTGTGGAAGGGGGCCTGGTCCACGGTGGGGCCTCCCCCGCAGAGCACCCTGGCACCCTGAGCCCCGAGGCCGCTGGCTCCGCCCCTGTGAGGTGCAGTGTCCAGCTGGGGTGCAGAGTGGGCTCACTTGGAGGCAGCAAGGTGAGGGCTCGGCTGGGTGACCGGGGGAGCCGGGCACAAAGGCCGCCCCTCTGCTCAGCCGTGACTGTCTCTGAAGAGCGTTAAGAGTTTCAGTGCGCAGTGTGGAGAGTCGGCGCGTGGCGCTGCTGAGGTTTCGATGGGACCAGGGGGGACGGAAGGCCTCGGACTTCGCTGTGCGGTCCACCAGCACGGGGGCTGCCGAGGAGCGTCCGCCTCGTGCCGGCCCGCTGCTGCCGGCCCGCTGCTGCCGGCCCGCAGTGTCTCACAGCCGTGTCTCCGCAGGGCCCAAGGAAGGCGGCAAGTTGAGGAAGCAGAAGCAGCGAGAGGAGACGCGGAAGAGGAGGCCGGCCCGGGGGAAGCGCTAGGCCGCCCGGGCGGGCCGCGGCACCAGGCGGCTCCGGGCGGCCGCGGGCGGCAGTGGCGTCCGCAGCCCTGGGACGCGCCGCCGGTCGGTCAGACTAGGACGCTTGGGTGTGGGGGCGGCGTCTGCGCAGCACCAGCGCCCGCGGCGCCCCGAGCTGAGGATCTGTCTCTCTCCCCGGGCGCTCGGCTGCAGTGCCACAGCTTCAGAGGCCTGGCAGGTACCGCCGGCCGCTGAGCGCACGGCACGAAGCAGCCTTCCTCGCGCGGGTGGGGTGTCCGAAGCCGGCACGTAGCCACATGCAGGGAGACCTGGGTGTCGCAGGTCGCGCACGGAGATGGTCTAAGGCGGCCAGGCCCTCAGCCGTGCCCAGTGACCCGGCCACCTGCACGCAGCCTCCGGCCAGTCACTTCAGATGCGCATCCTCCTCTCCACTGTTCTCATTTTGAGCCCCTCCGATTAGTCCCAGTTCAGCTTCCAGCACTGTGTGATTTATGCCAAATCTCATCTTTGCTTCTTGGGTCTGTAACTGTTCTTTTTAGCACGTACACAGGAGTCTACAGACCAGTCGAGGAACACCAGCTCTGGCTCCTGGGTGAGGGTCATGCCAGCTGGGACGCAGCCAGCCCGCCCTGAGCAGGTGCGCTGAGCGCGGGTTCCATGTGCCGGCCTTGGCCCTTTACAGCAGTCGTCTTGCTCTAGAAGATCCTCCTGCACACATTTCTCTGCATGGCGGTGCTTCTTAACCCTTGTTTCTGCTGGGCACCAACCAGCCCCCATGCGCCAGCACTGCCCTCCCGTCCTGTTCAGCGTGAGGGGCTTCTCCTGAGCCCTCCTGGGAATGAGGGCACACGGGGGAAGCTCTGATGTGGTTCGGACGTGCCAGCAGCTGGAATCCAGCAGTGTTGAAGCCCGGCAAGTTTTTGGCACATCCACAGGGTGGGCAGCCTGGGCACAGCCACGTGTGTGACCTCCGCTTTCAGGGTGACCCTTAGGGGACGTTTGCTTGGATGTGTCCTTGGCTTGGGGGAGGGGTGTGGACTGCCGGGTGGGGAGCAGCCTGGTGCTCAGTGCCCACTGTGGAAAATGTAACCATGATGCACACTGTGTTTTAAGTGACACTACATAAATAAAGTGAAGTGTTTTGTGCTGCTCATTTGCTGTCATTTATAAGTACTAATAAGTTGCACTCTTCTTAGTAGTTAAAATTAGAAGTGTTCTCCATCATTTCAATTATGGAAAATAAAGTGACATTTGGGGGCCAAAGGCTAGCATCTGAGATGCCTTTGCCCTCAGGTGAAGTGTCGCTTGGAGGAGAGGGACCCCGAGTGTGCGTGGTGTGACTGGCGGCCTGTGCCTGCCCGGCGGGGCGGAGCGGACCCTCCTGCTGTGGGCGCTGCAGCCCAGGGCAGGCCCCGGCGCAGGAGCAGAAGCCCCCGGCCCTCGTGAGCGGCCGCCCGGTCGCCGGCCCGTCTCACCTGTGGTGACGCTGCAGCTCCTGGGGCCGTGGGAGCATGACTGGCCAGTGAAGACAGGTTTGTGCCCAGGACCCTCGCTGTCCTTCGAGGCTGGCCACCCAGGAGCACCGTGTCTGTGGGGATCTTCAAGCCTCACACGGAACAAGCTGCCGGGCCCGTAGTCCTCACATGGCCCTGCGGCTTGGGGCTTAGGCCAGTGCAGTGTGCGGGAGAGGCCCTGTCCCCCGGGACTGGGCCACAGGGTCAGTGTCCAGCTCACTGCCCAGGAGAGGGGCGCAGCTGCCAGGCCAAGGCACAGCCCAGCCTGCTTCTGCCCAGCCCTCGGTGCGACTGCGGTGGGCTGTGGGCACTGGTGGGTGGGCCTGCTCACTCCTGGGCGGGATCCCACAGGCCTCGGGCCCCCTGGGCGGCTCTGGTGTCCTGGGGGTGGTTCCTGGGCGTCAGGCCCAGTCCCCAGTGGCATTTTCTGTACTGAGGAGGCCCCTTTTGGGGACAGAGTTTGTGGGACTCAGGAGGGTGATCCTGCCGCAAGGGACTGCCACATGCACCACTCCGGACGACTGTTACCCACTCCCGTCAGGTGGGTCTGGGCTGCAAATTTAATGCATTTTGAAACGGTTGCACATTCAGTTGTAATGTTACACAGGAAATTGCACAGTTGGTAAAGAGGCGCCCATGTGCCCCTCAGCCAGTGCCCCCCAAAGGGTGGGCGGCATCAAAACCAGGCATGTGATGCTGTATGATCCCTGGGGAAGGCTCTCCACCTATTGTTTGGAGCCTTGGAAAAGTGGACTGCGACATTGTTAATCACACCTGATTTGTTGTTTGTTTTTGGCCTTTGCCAAAATAAGGTTCTACTTCAAAAATCATCTGAAGGTGAGGAGTCGCCAGGTTCTCCAAGCCCAGGGTGTTTCCGGTCCTGGCTGCTCCCAGGGGTTCTGCACCAGTTCCTGGCCACCAGGCCCTTCCTCCCTCACCACCCACCTGCCTCCCGGGGGGCTGCCAGGGACGGCCCTTTGGCAGGCCCTGGGGGCACTCCCTGCGGTGGCCCTGCTGGCAGCCTAGGGGTCTGGGGCCCAGAGCAGGCAAGGAACCTGGTTGCGGCCCACAATCCCTGCTGGGGAAGCCAAGGCCCCCACCGCCGCCCACCCGTGGGGAGTGCTTGGCCGGCGCACGGGCCCAGCCCCAAGCAAGGAGCCAGAGTGGCCACAGCTGTGGCTGAAGCTGGGAGGTCAAGGCCTCATGCCCCTTCCCACCCCTCCGTGTGGGGTCCTGGGTAGGCCCCATGTGAGCAGCTGGGTACTGGTCCCGGCTCCAGAAGGAGGGGAGGATCGAGCAGGAGCCAGTGATGGGCGTGCAGAGGCCCAGTCCTGGAAGGTGGCCCTACCTGCAGAGACCCTACCGGCTGGACTGGGAGCTGGGCCCTCTTGTCCTCCTGGTGGGTGGGCGTTTGTGAGGGTCCCCCGAGAGTGTACAGCCCTATTCTCACTTGTAAGAGTTGACACAAGATTAGGTTTCTGGAAGATTGCTGTCCTCATGACTGCCGGGGCCCTCGCTGCCCTCAGGGCCTGTCCCCTCCCTCTCACTCCCTGTGGCCTGCTCAAGGCTGACTGCTCACCAGGGCAGCCCCTTCAGTCTGCGGGCCTTTGCTCAGGGCCTGGGGCCTGGTGGGCAGACTCCTGGGATTGCAGGCTGTCAGGGTTAGGCAGTCATATTCGCATATGAGCTGCTCCAGGGGCCTTGCTCTCGGGAGACTTGGCCCCATCCAAGAGCAGAGGGGTGAGAGCCCCCCAAAGTTGAGGGTGCCAGCTCCTGCCCCCAAAGGCCTGCCCAGAGGACTTCGGGACTTCGGACTCTACCGTGCACCCCACAGAGAGCCCAGTTCCCGTTGGGACGTCACTGCTGGGCCTCCACTGGATCAGAGCCTGGTGTGCTGGGAATGCAAGTGACCGGCCGACCCATGCCACTCACGGCCTCTGGGCCTTGCTTGGCCCGTCTTCGGGCTATAGGGGCCCCCTGCCCCTTACTGGGTCTGCATGATGGAGCCAGAGCCCTCACCTCACCCCGGCCCGCAGCGCAGAGCCCTTACAAACCAGGGGCCTGGTGCCACAAACCCGCACAGATGCTGTTTGGTGGTGCTGTCAACGTGCAGTCCGGGGCTCTGAAATACGGGGTTTTGAAGAAATGAATGACGATGAACGGACGGCTTGTTGGGAGAAGAGGCTTTGGCAGGAGGGGGCTCATGGCGGGGGCAGAGGCCCGCCCACCACCGCCTGCTCCCAAACTTCCAGGGGCTGCTTGGAACCTGAAACGCATCATTTTAACCGTTATAAAGTATAGTTCAGGGGCATTCGGCTTATTCACACCCTCACCAGGACTTCCATCTGCCCAAGCTGACTCTCCCCACTGAACACCACTGTCCTCCGTCCCCAGCACCCGGCGCCTGCCGTGCACGTCCCTCACGTCTGCTTGTGGCCTCCCTCAGTGACATCACTGTGTCCAGCCTGTGTGCGGCTCCTGCGCCCGGTGTGACGTCCCCATGGCCCATCTGTTGCAGGGTGTCAGACGTCCTCTTTCACTGGAGACGTCCCATTGCAAGGAGGGCCCCGTTTTGCTTCTGGCCCACCCGGGCGGTGGCCCGTCTCTGGGGCTGTGTGTGCCACGTGCTCTGTTATTGCCCCCCTCCAGCGATGCTGGGGCTGGGGACCAGAGCGGGAGGGGCCCCTGACTTGGCTCGAGCCTCCTCTGCCCTCCGGCCCCTGCCCTGGCATCGCCCTGGGGACCAGCCAGCTGGGAAGAGGCCCTTCATGGTGTCTGCCACCTACCTCCATGTTCCCGGGGCGAGAACAGGGCTGGGCTGGGCGTCAAAGCAGGCCCCTGACGCTGGGCACCTGGTCTGTCCCGCTGCCTGACTTCTCCCTGCCCCCACCCCCCACCCAGGGCTGCCAGAGCGGGCAGGGCACAGGGTTGGGGTGGCCAGTCCTGCAGCAAGGCGACTGCGTGCCCAGGGCAGCATCTCCCGTCACTGGCCGGCTCCCCGGCATGGGCACACCTCCTCCCTGTGCCCCTGCCTGCCCACAGAAGGGCACCTGGAGTCACGCTCGGTATGGCCTGCCCTGGGCACTCGGTGTCCCCCGGCTTCCACATGCAGATGACTCGGCCCGCACGGTTCTCAGCCAGATCTGTGTGGGGCGGGTGGGAGCGGCTCCCGCGTGGGGGTCTGAGGACAGACCCGATGGCGGCCTCACGCGGTGGGTGGAAGCCACCCCTCCGGGTCTTGGAGGACGGGCTGCGTGTGCAGCGATCCTGGCTGTGTTCCTGGCCGAGGGGCCTGGTTCTGGGAGGTCTCCTTCCCGCACGAAGGAAGCAGCAACCGGGCGAATGGGTGGGACCCTCCCGTCCTCCGGCCAGGCCTCGGAGTGGGGCCTGTCCCTGGGGGTGGCGCGTGCTCGGCCCTTTTGCCTCTGACACCGGCCTGGGCCCTTCTCCCCTGCCTCCAGCCCAGGTCTGCGGCCCCCAGGGCAGGCCCAGGCCCAGCAGGTGGGTGGGGAGGGCAGGGTCCCCGCCCGCAGGGGAGGGAGGGCCTCTGGAAGCCCGTGCAGCCCGGGGGCTCCCGGGATGCGGTGCCCCTGTGGTTCGCGGCCGTCACGGGGGCCCGGCTTCATCTCGCAAAGGAGAACAGGAGCTCAGGACCCGAGTGCGGCCCCCGAAGTCCGCCGACGCGCGGGGAGCGTCCAGTTCCGGCCTTCGGGCCGTCGTTCCCACTCGCAGAGCCCCGCCGCTCCGCTCGGGCCGGGCCCACGCTGCTGCCTCCCCGGGGCGAGCTGGCGGCTGGAGCCCCGGCCCTTCCTGCCGCCCGCGTGCCCGCCGCGCTCCCGGGGTGTGCGGACCGCGCCCGGGCCCGGGCCCTGGGGAGGCGCTGCCGCGGGGGCCGGGTCTCCGCAGGCGCGGCATCGGGGCGGCCCACGCCCCGCGACGGCCCCGACGTGCCCCGGAGGCGGCGGCGGTGGAGCCTCGGCCTCGGGGGCGGGACGCGTCCCCGAGCCTCCCGAGGGCGCCGCCGGCCCGCACGTCGACTTCGGGCGCAGAAGGTGGTTTCTGTGGCTTTAGCGCTTCAGCATCCCGACCTTTAAAGCTCCAACTCAGATGCCTTCTGAGAGGGTCTCAGGTGCCTGTGCTGCTTAAAGAGCATTTATTTTTCTCCACCCGAGGGTCCCACTGGAAGTCGGGCAGCAGCCGGGCCGGCGCGCGGGGGCGAGCGCTTTGCTTGGAGACGGTATTTCATGACGCAATACTCCCCGTGGCCACGCGAGGGCGCCTCCAGAAAAGGAAACGGCGGGCGGGACCGCTCCGTTCGCCCGCACGCGCGCGCGCCCGTCCCCACACCTCCACGGGCGTGCACGCACGCGCACTCACGAGCGCATGCACACACACGAACTTACACGCGCGTGCGCTCACGGCAGAGTAAATCGGCCTTAAATTGTGAAAATGTTCAAGTTAATCAAGGCTAAAAAGAATTGGAGGGGAAAGGGGCCAGTTATATTGTCCCCTCGGTAGGAGAACATAGTGTTGCTGGAGGGAGGGAGTCTGCGTTTACCTGCTGTTCTCACAGTCCTGGAAATAACACATCAAAGGATTTGCAAGAACAATTTTGAGATAAATTAGGCTCTACCA